AAAACCCCTCACAGAAAACCCAATACACAAACCCACCATATCAAGCAGTCACAGTTAACATTTCATACAATTCATACTATTTCTGCAAGACACCCTCCTCCTCTTCATCTGCTGTTTAAACGCTTAAGTTTCACAAACCCTAAAAAAGAGGGTGGGAAGAGAACATGCTTAGCTCACAGAATGAAAGGCAGTTTATGCTTTAGGACTTCTTTCGCACACTTACCTACACTCGTAGGAAAGATATGCTCATTGTTGATTTGCACCTCGATCCAGTCCATGAGAAGATTCATGTAATGGGGTGCTGGCAATGCTGCGGGCTTCTTGTACTTCACGTCATCCTGCCACCGGTACTCGTACTTCGGGCCTCCAGACATCACAGGGCAGGTTTTCTCCGTGCAGAACTCACAGATAGTTCCGTAAATGAGGTTGATTCTATTGAAGAAGTCAACAACATGGACGGCCACCCAGTCATTTTGGTCCTCTCCACTGGGCAACTGCACAGCCGCTTTCAAGTCCACGCCAGAGTGCAGAGAGGCCTGCGCCCGTTTGTGAAGTTCAAACCTCTGGGTTCCCGGTTCAAACTTGCGTTTTGGGCGGAAAGTCTTATCTTTGTTAAACACTTGCTTGAGTGTTATGGACATGACTGCTTATCTTCTGCTTTGCAGCAGCTGGCAGAAAAGCACAGCTGAGATTTAGCGCAGATATCTGGAAACAGTTGCTCCGTATCACAGGTCTTCCAGGCCCTACTCTTTTACTTAGAGAAGCTTGTATCAACTTCAGAGCAGTCAACTAACTTTTCCTCTTGAAAGCCTTTCTCAAAGGCTTCATGTCCCTAGGGAAATGGAAAAAATAAACATTAGGGTAAGCTCAAGTCTGCCCCTCTGTTTGTTACTAGTTTATCATCATTTTCTAGTAATTATGAGCTGAAAAGCAAATATTTAACAAGGTAGCCTTAAAAACTGGCCAACCTCATACCTGAAAAACATTTAGAATAACAAAAAAACCCCTCATTTTTAAAAGTATTAAGGAACTAACTTACCTGTCCTTTTCAAGTATCTACTCAAAGAAAGGCCCTTAAGTTATCATAAAGGACGGAATTCAATAAATCCTGTATTATCTTTCCATCTTTAGATAATTTTTAATCCAACCTTTTCATTTTGCTGCATTTTTACAGTGACTGCGTACCATATATAATGTATGTCACTATGTGACAATTTAGAAGTCTCATCTAACTGCTCCTAAAAGGATCAATGGTGCCTCTAAGCATTCACCATAGCTTCAGTGCTCTTCTCTGTAGGAAAAAAATGCCCGAGCAAGATTTTTCCATATTTGTTCTCTATTTTTAATTAATAAGCTCTTTGTTTTTTGCAAACTTCATAAAGCCTAATTAAGAGTAAAACCTATACTACTGCACATAAATAATCCCTGTTTTCCACAAAGCTATAGAGAGATTGTTATTTTTCTTGATCCACCCTTAAGAATTTAGTAGCGGTCTTAATTTTATATTGGTTTGTGTAGAATGACTAGAAAGCAAAGGTGAAGCTGACACTTTCTTTATAGCTCTACTCATCTTCTTGACAGTGGAATTCCTGGCATTGTTGTTCTTCTTAAAGGAAAAGCATAGACTGCATTGTTCCATCTCACCTGCTCTGGCAACAGAGAATGATTTTCACAGCCAATGACTGAAAAAATAAATTACTGCATTGGACCCTTGATTACACATATATATACACATGTGCAGAACAGTATTATCATCAGTAGATGTAGGCAATTAGTAGGTGACAGTGTAGATACAGGCTGTCTCAATTAGGCTTTTATTTAGATCTTAAGGTTTTACGATGAAATACAGAAAGAAAATATTTCATGCTGTGCATTATTTAAATTAAAAACAGTATGTTTTAAATTTGCACCATGCAACAAAAAAACCTACCCTATGAATTTTCATCATGGGATTATGTATGCTCCACTGTATGCACCCTTAATGTCCATGAAATCATGTCCATGAGAATTTTACCAGGTTGTGTGTGGAAAGTACTGAATTCTTCCAAAGACAGTTGCCCCACATCTTGCTGAGGGGCAGAAAGAAAGAGAAAAGGGTGCTTCTCTTTTTCTTAAGCACAAGAAAGCAAAATGTACCTAAGTAGAAAGAAATCTGGTGCACTAGATCCCGTCCCCACACAATAGAACATAAGTGCCATAAAAAATCCTCTTCCAACTAGCTGAAAGGTTAGCATCCTAACAATTTGCCAGCAAGCAGCAGATAAACGAAACCAGCAGGGAAGTGCTTGGTTTTCCTTTTGCTGATGGCACGATGGATGGATATTCCAATCACCAGTTTATAAACAGTCATTCAGGGATGCACTCCAGGGAGACTACTGTTGTATCTGATGTGCCCCTTGCAGTAATACTCATCATACACAGAGATCCTGAATGTTCAAATCCAGAGATCCTGAAACCCGACAAAGGTCAAGGAAAGACGACTTTAAGCAGAACTAGCCTTGCAACAATTTAGTTAAGTGTCATTGGCAGGAAATGAAGGCACTTTAAAGAGACAACTTTGCCCTACAGTTTGCTGTATGTTACTAAGACCCATAACGTCCAGCTCTCAAATTCTCTGTGGCAGTTATCTGTTTATTTAAAAGCCTTTCAAAGAATAGGTGAGTACTGGTGCACAAATTAAGCTTGTGACTGACACACTTTGAGATGGCATGGAGCCAGCATCCCAGTTTGCAATAATAAGGATGTTAGCTTCAGAGTTTTACAGCTCAAGTAACTACTTTTTTCTCCACTCTAATATACCTGGCACTCTTATGTGGCTAATTTGACTCCATTACTCATCAGCAAACACAAGAAGTTTTATTTAAAACAACAAACTGAGCAACAAATAAAAACTCATCTTCAAATGACACATTTTAAAGCACAGCAAACACTGCTGTTCAATATTTTCCAAGAAAAAACAGAACACACCATGTTTTATAAGTTATTTTCTACTGAAGATACAAACATAATTAATCACATTAAAT